TGCAACATGCAAGTGACACGTGTGCAGTGCAGCATGCAACACAATGCATGCCACGCCAATGCATCAGGGCAGGCAACCCACACACACACACGCTGCAACATGCACACAAAACATACAGCAAACGTGCAACGTGTAACAACACACAATGCACACATGGCACCATGTGCACACAATGTGTGACACAGAACACGCAAAACACAGCGTGCAACAGGCAACGCGCAACAGAGCACACACAGCGTGCAACACAGCACAGAAGTGCTGGAGCTCACCAGGAGGTGGAAGCGCTGCGGGGCAGGGGGTGGCCCCACATGGTGCAGCTGCAGCCGCAGCTCTTCCCCAGGATGGAGCGACCCGCGGGGACCCCCCCAGCACCAGGAACCGCCCAGACACCGCCGCCATCGGGGTCACCAACAGCTGTGCCCGCGCTGGGGGGACACCGGGCTGTCCTGCTTCCACCTGAGGGTCCCACAGACACCACAGTGCTTGGAGAGCCCAAGTCCCATATTACACATCCCACATCCCCACGTTCCCATGTCCCCATATCCCCCACCCTGTGTTCCCACATCTGTCCCCACTCACGCTCAGCTCCATCCTGGTGGCTCCTTTGGGGACATTGATGGGGACAGTGATGTCCCCGCTGTTGTCCGCCCGCAGCTCTATGAGGGGCGGTGCGGGGGCTCCGGTCACCCCCACCGTGACTCTCACGGGGACCCCCGGAGCTGCGCCTCCCCCAGCCTGCAGCACCCGGCCCTGCGGGAGCACCATAGCACGCACCGGGTGAGAACAGAGCATGCGCACGGCCTCGCACAAGAATGCAAAAGCGCGCCCTGAACACGTAGACATCTGCACCCCTCTGCACAGTCACGCGCAGATTTGCTCACCACGAGGGTGTAGGGCGCTCCGGGCACGAAGAACCGCGCGCTCCTCTGCAGCTGCAGCGCCCATTGGGACCGGACCAGCGGCACCAGCAGCTCCCGCTCCACGAGTTCCCCCCCTGCGGGACACCGTCAGGCCACGCCTCCTCCTCACAACGCCCTCTGACCACGCCCACCCCGTAGCCACGCCCGTTTCTGTGACCACGCCCCCTTCGTGGCCTCACCCCCACTTCGGGATCCCAAATCCCCCTGAGACAAGAAGGGGTCCCCAAAATCCTCGAGGGACCCCAAAATCTTCCTGGAACCCTCGAAAACCCCTTTGAAATCCCAAAGCCTCCACAAGACTCCAAAACCCTTTTGCGACCCCAAAAACCCCTCTGGGACCCCAAAAGCTTTCAGGTCCCGCCCCCTTTTCCGAAGTCCCGCCCACCTGCCGATTCGACCACGCCCACCGCCAGGCGCAGCTGCGCCCCCTGCAGGTCGGTCAGCGCCACGCCCACCGCTTTGGCCACGCCCACCGGGGACACCTCCAGGGAGGCGTGGCCTTCTGTAACCTGGGGGCGGGGATAGTGAGAAGGGGAGTGGCTATGGATAAGGAGGCGTGGTTATGAGAAAGGGGTGTGGCTATGGGAAGGGTGGGGTAATGGAAAGGGGCGGGGTTATGGAAAGGGGCGGGGTCAACCCCCCGTAGGTTTTGGGGTCTCACCTGGCACTGCTGCTCCAAGCCCCGCAGGAAGCGACCCCCCCGGCCCCCGGCATCCCGCAGCCCCACACGCAGCTGTGCACGGCCCCACACCGGCGCTCCATCTGGGAATCTGGGGGTCCAAAGGGTCAGTGGGGTCAGGAGGTCCCCAGCAGTTAATAGGGTCAGGGGGGTGGATCCCAAAGGCCAAAAAGGTCAAAGGGAGAGATCCCAAAAGTTAATAGGGTCAAGGTGCCCCAGGGGTCAATAGGGCTGGGGGAACCCAAAGGTTGTAGGGTGAAGGATTGACCCCAAATGACATCAGGGCCACTGATTTAGGGTGGATTGGAGGGGAATTGGGGGAATTCAGAAGAGCTGGAAGGGATTTGGGAGAAGACGGATGGAAATTTTTGGCTGGAATTTGTGGGGGACCAGGTGGGATTTGGGATTTGGGTAGGATTTAGATGGGGATTTGGGGGGATTTTATCTCCAGGGGTCCCGTACTGGATGTGCAGGTGGATGCGCAGTGGGGCTGGTTCGGGGTCACTCAGCACAACGAAGCCACGCTCGGGGCGGATGCGCACCTCAAAGCCAGGCAGCACTGGGGACAACAATGGGGTTATGGGGGGTATGGGGGCACAGCAGGGACCCCCCGGACCCCACTCACCATATTTGCGCACCTCGAAGGCGGTGGAGCCGTTGGTGCTGGGACTGGCGGCCAACTGTGCCCGTATGCGCCATGTCCCTGGGCTGGGGACACAGGGGCATGGTGACCCTATGGCTCCCATAGGATCCCTCTGGTGTCCTATAGCCTCCCACAACCCTGTATGGCTCTTGTGGTTCCCTATAGGCTCCTGCTACGGTCTTCTATAGACCCTATAGTCCCTTATAGCCCTCCTCATAGACCCCTGTGGACCTCTAGAGCCCTCCAGAGCCCTTTTGGCTCCTATATTCTACAGCTTCTCAGAGTCCCTAAGGCCCTTATGGTCCCCCATATCCACCTACAACCCCTGTAGACCCCTATAGCCCTTAAGGTGACCTACAGTTCCCCCAAACCCCCTACAGCCCCAGCCCTGTATTCCCCCATAGTGCCTATCACCCCTATGGTGTCCTGTAGCTCCCCACAACCCCCTGTAGCTTCTATGGCCATTATAATGCCCCAGTAACCCCACTACTTTGGCCCATCTGCAGCCCCTGTAGCCCCAAATCCCCACAGCCCCCCGTCCCACCCCATGGCCCCCCGTTGCCCCCTATAGCCCCACTCACAGGGCGATGTCAGGCAGCACCAGTTGGTCACTCAGCACCGTGTCCAGGGGCACCCGCTGCACCTCCCGCACTCGTGCACCCAATGGGTTCTGGGGGGACATGGAGGTACAAGGTGAGAACCCAGACTTGTAGGGCCACCCAAACCCCACAGGGTTACCCACAGCCCCAGCCTTATAGGGCCTTTACCGTGATGGTGACCAGGACGGGTTCAGGGTTCGGCTGTAGGTCAGGGTCCATGGAGAAGACCCGGAAACGCACTGGGGACAAAGAGACAAATGGGGACAGGTGGGGGTTATGGATTTAGGCATTTAGAGTGTATTTGGGGGGCTTTGGGTGACAGGGGCATTCGTGGTGCGTTGGGGTGAATTTGGAGGAAATGGGTCAATGTAGGGTGAAAATGGGTGGGTTTGGGGGAATTTGGGGAATTCATGGTAGATTTGGAGGGGATTTGGGGAAAATTTTGGGGTTTATTTAGGGGAGTTGGAGCATTTGGAGCACTGGGGGGAGAATCGTGGGCAGATGAGGGATGCTTTAGGGTTGGGGGGCCCTCCAGGTGGATTGGGGGCACTCACCTGTCTGTCGGGGGGCATAGAGAGGTTTGTCCGTCTGCACAATGAGGTGACCCCTTGGCCCCCCCAGGGCCACATGCAGACTCCGGGTGATGGGGGGGGTCAGGTTGGGGCTGTGGGCCTCTAGGAGCAGCCCCCGACCCCACAGAGCCCCACAGCGCTCAGCCTGCACTGGGGTGACCTGCAGGGGACATAGGGACGCAGCAGGAGACATTTGGGTTATGGGGATAAAGGGGGAGCTCTAGGGAAATGGGAGCTCTGGGGAAGGAGATGTGAGGTGACGTGGGTGACATGGCAGGAGGGGACCCAAGGGTGCACATGTCCCTGCGTGCCACGGGGGTGTCCCCAATCCCCTCACCCCACAGGAACACCCCAGAGTCCATCTGCTCCATAGGGACATCCCCCCACATCCCAGTGTCCCCATACCTCAATGTGCAGGAGCTGGTTGAAGTTGTTATGGGGTGTGAGGGCAAAAGGGGCTGGGAGGGCGCAGGGCCCAGCCCCACGGTCCCCCTCAGCCCATGCAGTCACCGTCCCTGTCACCGGCCCCACAGCTGCCACCAACAGCCCCATGGGGGTCCCCAGGGCCATGCGCCGGGGGGCCACCAGCACCAACCTGAGGGAACACTGCTTGAGCCACCAGCCCCATAGCTGCTCCATAAGCCCTCCCAGATCCCATAAGCATGCAGATACTCCTTAGGTCCATAGTTCCTCCCAGACCCCAGAGGAAACCCCCCCAGCTCTGGCCCCATAACCCCCTCAACCATGCAGAAATCTCCCTCAATCCCACCAGGCTCCATCACATCACAATCCTATAGCTGCCCCCAGCCCCAACAGTGCCCCATAGTCCCTCACAGACGTTGCAAGACATTCGTAGTCCCATAACTACCCCACAACCAACCCCAACCCCATAGCTACCCCAACCCCAACCCACAAAACCCCATACTCAGGGTCCTGGGAGCTGCCATCCATTAAGGGAATGAGGAAGAGGAGGAAGAAGAGGCTGAAGGCCCAGCGAGGCCCCATGGCTCTGGCGGTGTGGGGCAGATGGGGGTAGCAATGCAGGGGCAGCGGGGTTGGGATCAATCATTAACGGGAGGCAGACAACAAGGCCCACCTGCAGACCCTGAGGGCATCGACCTCAGCTGGGCCCACGTGGATGTGGGGAAGCGGTGCGGGGCGGTGCTGCGGGGAAATGACACAGATCCCAAAGGGAGCCCTGGGGGACACCACTGTCACCGCCCCCACCAGGACACGGAGCCGCTGACCCTATGGACGCGACCCCCCCAAACAACTCCTTGAATGGAATGGAGGATGATTTCTCCTCCACTGCCCCGTCTCGCCGACAGAAACCCTCGGCCCTCTCCCCTGGGGGTGGGACATGGCCCCGTGGGGACACAGCCGAGTTCCCCGCTGCTCCGAGGCCCGGGGGGTTCCCACACCGCGCCCCTCTCCTCCCCCACTCAGCACTTTCGCTTTCGCTTCACAACCTGCAGAAGCGCATTCTGCCTGGCGCCCGGTGACGTCACGCATGCTCCCATCCGCCATTGGCGGGGTGGAGGCGGAGGAACCAATGGGGGCGCGGGGCGGTGCTGGGGAGTCCAAAAAGCCGAAGGAGCGGTGCGGGGCGCGGAGCGGTGCGCAGAGATGGGGCCGTGCGGGGCCCTGGGCCTGGCGCTGCTGCTGCTCGGCGCCGCGTGCGGGGCAGCGGGCGGTGAGTGCGGCCGGACCGGGACCCCTCCCTGCCCCTAACCCCAGCCCGGGGCTGTGCCCGTGGGACCCCCACCCGCGGCTCACGGCCCCGCTGCGCTCCGGCCCCGCAGAGCCGCACTCCCTGCGGTACTTTGACACCGCGATGACGGATCCCGGCACCGGGCTGCCCTGGTTCGTGGTTGTGGGGTACGTGGACGGCGAGATCTTCGTGCACTATGACAGCACCGCGCGGAGGTTCGTGCCCCGCACCGAGTGGATGGCGGCCAACATGGACCAGCAGTACTGGGACGGACAGACGGAGATCGGACAGAGCGCTGAGCAGACTGACCGCTGGAACCTGGACAATGTACCGAAACGCTTCAACCAGAGCGGCGGTGAGCACGGCCGGGGCCGCGGCTCCGTGGGTGCGGGGCGGGGCTCCATGGCGCAGTGCCGCCCGCGCCCCCCAGGCCTGGCCCTGCCCGGCGGCACCGTGCCGGCGCTGCCCGTCACAGCCGCACCGAGCTCGGGGTGCCGCGTCGCGGGGGACCCCAACCCTTCCCCACTGCAGTGGGACCCCGGAGCTGGAGGGGCCCCTCATCCCCTGCCCGGCTGTGTTTCAGGGTCTCACACACGGCAGCGGATGTACGGTTGTGACATTCTTGAGGACAACACCACCCGGGGGTATTATCAGAATGCCTATGATGGGAGAGACTTCATCGCCTTCGACAAAGACAGGATGACGTTCATTGCGGCAGTTCCAGAGGCAGTTCCCACCAAGAGGAAATGGGAGGAAGTGAGTGAAGCTGAGAGGTGGAAGAATTACCTGGAGGAAATCTGTGTGGAGTGGCTGCGGAGATACGTGGAGCACGGGAAGGCAGAGCTGGGCAGGAGAGGTGAGGGGGGCTGCGGTGTGGGGCTGGAGGTGGGGCGGGGGCTCAGCATGGGGAGCTCAGCTCGGCCCTCACTGCCGCCCGCCCGCAGAGCGGCCCGAGGTGCGAGTGTGGGGGAAGGAGGCCGACGGGGTGCTGACCTTGTCCTGCCGCGCTCACGGCTTCTACCCGCGGCCCATCGTCGTCGAGTGGATGAAGGACGGCGCAGTGCAGCACCAGGACACCCACACGGGGGGGCGTCGCGCCCAACAGCGATGGCACCTACCACACCTGGGTCACCATCGATGCGCGGCCGGAGGACAGGGACAAGTACCAGTGCCGCGTGCAGCACAACAGCCTGCAGGAACCCGGCCTCTACTCGTGGGGTGAGTGAGGTGCTGTTGGGGCTGGGGGGCTCCGGGCTGCCCCTTCCCCTGCTGACGACCCCACTCTCCCCCAGAGCCGTCAGAGTCCAACCTGGTCGCCATCGTGGTGGGGGTGATTGTTGCCATTGTGGCCATCGCGGCTGTTGTTGGATTCGCCATCTACAGAAGCCGTGCAGGTAAAAGCAGAGGAGTGCAGGAGGACAGCGGGGGCTGTGGGGGGATCTGAGGTCCCCTTAGGAGCCCCTATCCTGGCTGTGAACCTGTGCTGACACATCACTCTGTGTACAGGGAAGAAAGAGAAGGGCTACAGCATTGCTTCTGGTGAGTGATGAGGCTGCCTGGTGCCAGGGCGGTCCTGGGGCCCCTGTTTTCTCCCAAGTTCCCATTCCTGGTGCTTGGGGCTGCTCCATGCCCCATAGTGAGTGCAGGGGGGGCTCATGGCTGTTTTTCCCTTACAGCAAAGGATGGTGGATCCAACGGCTCAGCCACAGGTGCGGTGTGGGGCTGGGGGTTGGGAGGGATCCCTGTACTCTCTGTGGTTCTGCCCCCAGGGCTGGGCTGTGCTGGGGTTCTGCAGGGAGACCCCCGGAACAGAGGTTGGGATGGGAATGCAGTCCCATGGGACACCATCTCTTCTCATCCCCACAGGGAGCGACTGCCCCGTCATCTGAGTGCTGTGCTTCAGCCTGCAAGGGGAAGGCTGTCCCCACCAGCGTTTGGGTTGGTGGTGGACACAGCCCCATCCTCTCAACCTCACACCTCCCCCTCTGCTTTCAATGCTGACTGTTAGCTTTGCTTGCACTGCTTCCTGTGAAATAAACTGATGAGCGTTCTGTGCTCAGCTTGTCTGCCGTGTGCTCCATGCTGTGGTTGGGGATGGGGTGGTGAGAGGGCTGTGTCCAGGTTTGGCTGCTCAGGGTGCTGAGCACCTGCTGCCCTGCTGCTTTGCTCCACCTGCTGCTCACTCCCCCCATGTTTCCCCTCCCCTCTGTGACCCCGTGCTGATGGCTGCCTGCTCCCTGTCCTGGACGAGCTCTGGTTTTCCCAATGCCATCCCTGTGTACTGGGATCTCCTTGCTCCTCCTCCCCGCTGTCCCTGCATCTATTCCCCCTGTGCCCCCAGCTGGGTGTCCTGCAGCACTTCCTCCCTGCCCCCATCCTGCTGCCTCTAATCCTCACCCTTGCCCAGTCCACATCACTCATCCCTCCCTTCCCCAAATTCGTGTCCCTGCTGTGCCCCTGTCCCTGCGGTTCTGTGTACTCCCCACATTGTGCCCTACACTCAAATAAATATGGTTGTTCCGCTGTCCTCCTGCCCTCTCCTGGTTTCTTTCCTCCTGTCTGGGTGTTGCTGGGGGCTCTGATTTTTCCGCTGAGGGTGTGGGGAATCTGGGGGTCCCTCACTCTCCCTGCACTTCCTATAGCCCCAGGATTCCGCACCATGAGATCCCAACACAACACCCCTGGGTACAAACATGCAGCTTTATTCCCGGTTCTGTGTCACACCCCCAGCCCTGCTGGCACTCAGTGACACTGCTGTCTGTGCAGTGGCCATTGTGTGTCATACAGCAATGATATGGCAGTGTGCCCGGCTCAGCATCCGTGTGCCCATGGCACAGCTCTTGTGGTCCTTTGTCACTGTCCTGGTGTCCCCACCTCCACCCTAAGTGTCCCCATTCTCAGTCCCAATGCTCAGTGTCCCCATCCCACCTCCCACTGCCCCCACCCTCTGCCGTCCCCATCCATAACTCTTGCTATCCCTCATCCCCACTCCCTCTGTCCCCCTTCCTTGGTGCTCCCTGTTGTCCCCAGTCCTGCAGCAGGTGCCACATGGGGCTTCCGGGGTGCAGCACCTCGTGGGGGGGTCCCTGCTGGCGCACCTCTCCCCCATCCAGCACAGCCACCCGCTGTGCCCGCGCTGCCAGGGCTGCCCGGCCCGTCACCATCAGCACTGCACGCCCCGACCCTCTGGCTGCGAGGATCTCCTGTTCCACCTATGGGAGGAGAACTGGTCAGTGGGATGTCCCCAGCCACAGCCAGGGACTGAGGGCCTCCAAGGGTGGGGACCATGGGGAACGGAGTGCAGACTGAGGGAACGCAGGGCTGAGGGGGATGTGGGCACATGGAGGACATGGGGGACATCCCACCTGCTGCTGGCACTCAGTGTCCAGGGCGCTGCTGTGCTCATCGAGGATGAGGATGCGGGGGTCCCGCAGCAGCGCACGGGCAATGGCCACCGCCTGCCGCTGCCCCCCGGAGAGCTGTCCTCCCAACTCGCCCACCTCTGCGGGGATAGGGGGGTCAGGATGTGAGGGAACCCTACAGGGGGCACGGAATGGAGCAGGAACACCGTACCTGTGTCGTAGCCTTGGGGCAGGTGGGTGATGAAGTTGTGGGCGCCCACCTTGCGGGCAGCTGCTGTCACCTGCGCCCGGCTGCAGCACCCCAACCCATAGGAGATGTTGGTGTGGAGCGAGCGGGCAAAGAGCAGCGGCTCCTGGGGGACCACGGCCACCTGCAGTGGGAGGAACAGCGGGGACACAGCGGGGATGCAGCAGTGGAGGTGATGGGGATGGCTGGGGATGTATCAGGGACACCTGAGGACATGGCTGGGGACACAGCAAGGATGGCTGGGGACTTGGCTGGAACACTGGGGAACACGATGGTGATGGCTGGGGACCCAGACATCTGGTGACCCAACGAGGATGCCTGCTGATGTGCAATGACACTCGGTGACCCACGGGGACAACCAGGAGCCATGGGGACATGTGGTGACTCACCTGGCGGCACAGGTAGGAGTGCTGGTAGCTGGGGAGGGGGTGGCCGTCCAGCAGCAGGCGCCCGGCCGTGGGCTGGTGCAGGCGTGACACCAGGGCCACCAGAGTGCTCTTCCCTGCACCCGGGGGTCCCAGCAGTGCCAGCACCTCCCCAGGGCGCAGCTCCAGCGATACGCCCTGGGGACACAGATGTCACAACCACGGTGTCCCTGTACCCACCTCTTCATGGCCCCAAGGCCTTCCTGCTGTGTCCTTCTGTCCCTGCTCTCCCCCCCCACACACCCCCTCCCCTCCCCCCCCCCCCCCCCCTCCCCTCCGGATCCCTTGTTTTGTTTCCACACCTCTGGTACCACATCTACACACCATGCCCTCCCCACCATGTCTCTGTGTCACTCATCATGTCCCCATGCCACATCCCAACCATGCGCCGTGTCCCTGCGCCCTCAATGCCACGTCCTCGTGTTCCTCTGCGACACCCCCATACCATCCCCTCCATGCATCTCCTTGTTTCATATCCTCACGCCCTGACCATCATGTTCCTGTGTCCCTGTATTACACCACTGTCCCCACACCTGTCACACTGTGCCACCACGTCCCCATGTCCCCTGTGCCCACCTTGAGGACGGGCTCCTGGCGCCCAGGGTAGGAGAACCAGACGTCCTCCAGCTGGAGGTGGCCCTGCAGGTCACTGGGTGCCACTGTCCCCGAGGGTGCAACCTGTGGCTCCCGGTCCAGGAACTCAAAGATCTTCTCCGAAGAGCCCACAGCCTTTGTCAGTGTGGGGTAATAGCGGAGCAGGACCTGGGGACAGCGCGGTGATACAGCCGGGAGGGCAAGGGGATGTGGCGGGGGGACGTGGGGACACGGGGACGTGGGCATCCCCTCTGGCTCACCCCCACAACATCAGTGAACTGCATCTGGTAGAGGAGGAAGGTGACAAGGTCCCCAGTGCTGACGGTCCCTGCAGCCACCAGCTGCCCCCCATAGTAGAGGATCCCCACCTTCAGGGCCAACGCTGAGAACTGAGGATGCCATGAGGTCACCAGGGGACACCTCCCCATGGGACACCAAGTTCCCAGCCCCACTCTGTCACCTCCCCATGCTGTCAATGTTGTGCCTGCCACATCCTGATGTCCCTGTGCCATCATATCCACATCCCACAGTCCCCATGCCATCATTTTCCCTGCCACCCCCGTGCCATTATGGCCCCCAGCCCCTCAGCATGCTGTCCCCATCTCCTGACATCCCAATGCCATCACATCCCCACGTCCCCCAACCCCATCCCATCAAATCCCCATGCTATTGAGCCACTCCATCCCGTACACCGCTGGTCCACACAGAGACGGTGTAGAGGGCCACATCCTTCTTCTCCAGGCGGTGGCTCTGCTGCAGGCGCTGCCGGTAGTGCGCAGCCGCCCCGTCCTCGTTGGCGAAGCTGCGCACGGTGGCCATGGCTTGGAAAGTCTCCACTGCCACCTCGCTAGCCTGGGCCTGCGCCTTCTGCATCTGTGGTGCCAGGGCCTGGGGACAGCAGTGTCACTGCAGGGCGGGTGGAAGGGGAATGGGGGCTGGGGAGGGGACAGTGCATGTATGGTGGTAGAGTGAAAAGGATGGAGGGGACGTGAAGGGGATGGTGGGTGCACAGAGGTGGGGATGTGCAGAGGACAGTACTGATGTGGAGGAGACAACGGTCACACATAAGGAATAGTGAGCACATGGCAGGGATAGCGGACACATGGAACGGGCGGGGGGGCACGTGGAGGGACAATGGTCACACAGAGGGGACAACAGGCAGGAGGATGGTGGGTACATGGAGAGGACAGTGGGCACATGGAGAGGACAATGAGTATGTGATGGTGACACCAGGCACATGAATGGCACAACGGGCACGTGGTGGTGACCAAAGGCACGTGGAGGTGCAGACAGCAGCCCATACCTGCCTGAAGTGCCCCACAGCCCTGGGCAGGGCCAGCAGCAGCGGCAGCGCCAGCGCGGTGAGCAGCGCCATGCGCGGGGACAGCCAGGCCATGGTGGCGAAGAGGCAGACGCCGCGTGCCAGATACCAGAGCAGGAGGCTCAGCGCTTCGCCCAGCGCCTCACGCACGTCCTCTGCATCCCGTGTCACCCGCGTGGCCACATCCCCTGCCGGGTGACAGCACCATCAGTGCCACCCGAACTTATCCCCACGTCCCCTCCCAGCCCGGTGCCCCTCACCGGCCCCATCGGCGCGCAGCTCGGCGATGTCCTGCCGCAGGACGGCAGCGAAGACACGGCGCTGCAGGCGGCTCTGCGTGCGGCTCAGCGTCCCCACGAAGGTCACATCGCACACCAGCTCGGTGACAGCGCTGTGGTGGCAGTGAGGTGTCAGGGGGTCCCGTGCTGCCCTCCGCTCACACCACGTCCCCCCCCCGTGCCAATACCTGCTGAGGCCCAGCAGCACCATGGGTAGGATGGCCGCCAGCTCGTCCTCGCGGGCCACCCAGTCGCTGGCACGTCCCATGTAGTAGGGCACAGCCATCTCGCCTGTCACCGCAGCAGGGTCAGGGCACGGGGACCCCCCAAGGGACGGTGCCCTGGAAGTTCTGTGCTGCACCCCCAATTTGGTGCTGCACCCCCAAATCTCAGAGGGGAACCCCCAAAGTGCTGCTCTCCAGTTGGCTGCACCCCCCCCCACCCCACCCCAATCCCATCTCCATCCCCACTCCATCACATCCCCATTCCCACCCCATCTTCAGTCCCCATTCCATCCCCATCCCAAACCCAGACCCAGTTCCCATTCCTTTCCGTATTCCCACCCCCTCGTACCCAATCCCAGTTCCAAACCCACACCATTCCCATTCCATCCCAACCCCATTCCCACTGCCTACCCTATTCCATGGCTATCTCCATCCCCATCCTATCCCATCCCCATCCCCACCCTTATCCTCGTCCCCACTACAACCCCACCCTCATTCAAACCCCAATCCCACTCCGATCCCACCCCCACTCCCCCTCCCCGTACCCAGTGCCGAGGCCGCCATCAGACCGATCACCGCGGCGCAGCGCCGGCGCTCGGGGCTCAGCGAGAGGAGGAGGCGGCGACCCGCGCCCATCGCTCCTGTCGCGACCCCGATCCCACTCCGGCCTCGATCCCAATGCCCGGCAGCGGCCTCAGCTTCTCGGAAACCAGAGCGTCGCTCATTGGCTGAGGCGGTGCAGCAGCGGCGCCGCTCATTGGTCGAAGCGGTGTTGCATCATCAGTTGCCAGGCAAGTCGGAACACGGCAGTTTGGAAAGGGGCGGGGAAATTGAAAATGAAAGTAACGGCGGAGCGGGGAGGGGATGGAGAGCGGCGGCGGTGAGGGGCCGGAGGGGGCTGGAGGGGGTTGGTAGAGGCTGATGGGGACTGGTGGGGACTGGTGGGGACTGGTGGGGACTGTCGAGGGGCTGGCGGGGAACTGGTGGGGACTGGAGGGGTTTGGTGGCCACTGGAGGGGGCTGGAGGGGTTCGGTGACTGCTGGTGTGTGCTCCAGGAGGGTCCGTGGGGAGCCGGGCTGGAAGGGGGGGCCATTCTCAAAGCACTGCTGTGTGTTCCAGGTGCTGAGAGGAGCTGAGAACCCGCGTCAGGAGCACCCCGAGGAGCCCACCCGGTCCTGCTCTGCATCAGAGGCTCTGGGGGTCCCCACCCCGCAGCCATGGTGATGCGGCCCCACGTTCTGCGCCTGTCATGCACGCTGCTCCTGGCCGACCTGGCCCTCATGTTGGCCCTGGCCCACTTCTTCCCAGCACTGGCTCAGTTGGGCAGGGTGGGCTCCTGGCTGGAAGCCGGGCTGCGCCTTCTGGTGCTGGGGGGGGCCGGGCGGCTGCTGGCCCCCAGGGGACCCCACGGGGCTGCGGTGCTGCTGAGTCTGGGCCCGGCCGTCTTCCTGACCCTACGGGGCTACGTGGGGCTGCCTGGAGCCGCCCCGGTGCTGCTGGCCACGGCCACGCCGTCCTGGCTGGTGCTGACCCACGGGACAGCCGTGGTGGCATTGCTCACCTGGAGCCTCCTGGTCCCCACTGTAGCTGTGGGGGCGAAGGAGGCAGAGGCCTGGGTGCCCCTGAGGCGGCTGCTGGCCCTTGCCTGGCCTGAGTGGCCCTTCCTCAGCTGCGCCTTCCTCTTCCTCGCCTTGGCTGCGCTGGGTGAGACCTCAGTGCCTTACTGCACTGGGAAAGCCCTGGATGTCCTCCGCCATGGGGACGGCCTCGCCGCCTTCACTGCTGCTGTCGGCCTCATGTGCCTGGCCTCTGCCAGCAGGTAGGGACCCCACATCCCTCCACAAAATCTCATCCACCTCTGGTGGTCATCGGATGGGCTTGAGGGTCTCTTTCCATTCCTGGTGGTCATTTGATTGCTTTTGAGGTCTCCATTCACTCTTGGTGGTAATCTAAGAGCATCTGGGGTCTTCATCCCCAGATTTGGCCAACCCCTATTGATTGTGTAGTGAATTTAGGCTCCTCTGTCCCTAGACCCACCAACTGCTCATTGTTGTCTGATGGCTTTTAGGGTCTCCATTCCCAGACCCCTTCCAACCCTACTGGGTTTTGGGGTCTCCATTGACCTTCAGTGGTTGTTTGATGGGTTTGGGGCTCTTTGTTGGCTCTTAGTGATTGTCTGAAGAGTTCTGGGCTCTCCACTGACCCCTGATGGGTTTTGAGTTCAACCCCCAATTCCTTCCCAGCTCGCTGTTTGCCGGCTGCCGTGGTGGCCTCTCCACCTTCATCAGGTTCCGCTCTGTTTTGCGCACCCGTGACCAGCTCTTCTCCAGCCTGGTGTACCGGGACCTCGCCTTCTTCCAGAAGACCACAGCAGGTACAGACTGGGGGCACTTTTGTCCCTGTCCCCACGCCATACCCCAGCTCATCCCATTCAACCCCGCAGCTGAGTTGGCCTCCCGGCTGACCACTGACGTGACGCTGGCAAGCAATGTGTTTACACTCAACATCAACGTCATGCTGAGGAACCTGGGGCAGGTGCTGGGGCTCTGTGCCTTCATGTTGGGGCTGTCCCCGCGCCTGACGATGCTGGCGCTGCTCGAAGTGCCGCTTGCCGTCGCCGCACGGAAAGTCTACAACACCCGGCACCAGGTGATGGCAGGGGTTGGGGTGGCAGGGATGGAGACAACAGCAGTGGGATAGGAACAGTGGGAAGAGCAGAAGAGCAGGATGGGGATCGTGGGTCCAGCACAACCAGGATGAGATGGCAGAAAACAGCAGGGCAGGAATGGCGAGGACTTGGCCATGCCATGCGTGCTGACAGCCACTGTTCCCCCCAGCTGCTGCAGCGGGCCGTGCTGGATGCAGCGGCCGACGCTGGAGCGGCAGTGCAGGAGTCCATCTCTTCCATTGAGACAGTAAGAGTCTTCAACGGCGAGGAGGAGGAGGAGCACCGCTACAGGCAGGCACTGGACAAGACCCTGCAGCTGCGGGACCAGCGGGACACAGAGAAGGCCATTTTTCTCCTCATCCGGCGGGTGAGGCTGGCATGAGGAGACATTCTGGTGTCCGTGTGGGATGGGGACATCCCTGCTCAGCCCCATCCCTGCAGGTGCTGCAGTTGGCCGTGCAGGCTCTGGTGCTGTACTGTGGGCACCAGCAGCTCCACGAGGGGACCCTAACTGCTGGCAGCCTCGTCGCCTTCATCCTCTACCAGACTAAAGCTGGCAGCTGTGTGCAGGTGAGGTCAGGCAGTGCGTCCTCTGCCACCGGATCCCCATGATTGTGGCCACGTCCTCGTGTCCCCACCGTGGGTGCTGTGCCTGCGGGTCACAGCTGTGCCATGCAGGCGCTGGCGTATTCCTATGGTGACCTTCTGAGCAACGCGGTGGCCGCCTGCAAGGTCTTCGATTACCTGGACCAGGAGCGAGCTGTGGGCACCGGTGGCACCTACGTGCCCACCAAGCTGCGGGGCCACATCACCTTCCATCGCGTGTCCTTCGCCTATCCCACTCGCCCCGAGCGCCTCGTACTGCAAGATGTCACCTTTGAGCTGCGCCCTGGTGAGGTGACAGCATTGGCAGGGCTGAATGGCAGCGGGAAGAGCACCTGCGTGGCACTGCTGGAGAGATTCTATGAGCCTGGGGCTGGGGAGGTGCTGCTGGACGGGGTGCCGCTGCAGGACTATGAGCACCGCTACCTGCACCGCCAGGTGAGGGGCAGGGGGGAGTTGTGGCCACACCGAGTGGTGCTGGGGCTCAGCATCTTCCTTGGGGCAGGTGGCACTGGTAGGGCAGGAACCCGTGCTTTTCTCCGGCTCCATTCGGGATAACATTGCCTATGGGATGGAGAACTGCGAGGAGGAGGAGATCATAGCAGCTGCGAGGGCCGCGGGCGCTTTGGAATTCATCTCTGCCCTGGAGAAAGGCTTCGGCACCGGTGAGTGCAGGGAGCGGGGGGGGGACCCGGGTGTCTGAGCACACTCATCCCCACCCCGTCCTGCAGATGTAGGGGAGAGAGGAGGGCAGCTGTCGGCGGGGCAGAAGCAGCGCATCGCCATCGCCCGCGCTTTGGTGTGGCGTCCCACCGTCCTCATCCTCGACGAAGCCACCAGCGCTCTGGATGGGGACGGCGATGCGGCGGTGAGCACTGAGCAGCGTGCAGGGGGGAAGGTCCGGCCCTACAGTGCGTGCTGATGGGCAGCTGTGCATCCTACAGCTGCAGCAGTGGGTGCGGAACGGGGGGGACCGGACGGTGCTGCTCATCACCCACCAACCACGGATGCTGGAGAAGGCTGACCGCGTTGTGGTGCTGGAGCACGGCACGGTGGCTGAGATGGGGACACCCGCCGAGCTGAGGACCCGCGGTGGACCCTACAGCCGGCTGCTACAGCGCTGACAACCATAGGGCAGCTGGAGTGGGATGCGATGGGACGCGGGGAGCAGTGGCTGGCTCTGCTCCCGGCTGCAGGATGGGAAGTGTGGGGTGCTCTGGGATTTGTATGGAATAAAGTGGAGATGCTTTGTAGAGGAGCGAGTTGGGATGTGGGGTGTGGGCAGCTCAGCCTCAGTGCATGGTTGGTTATGGAAGCCGAGTGTTTGCCTTCAAAATGTGGTTGGAGCAGCACTGTACACTATGGGGGGGGAGGCACAGCTCAACCCAAAGGACAATTTCCAGCCATGTATCCGCATGAAAGCCATGAAAGCCTCGCACAAGGGAGTGTGAGGGTGAACGCAGGGGGAGGAGGGAGCAGCAGTGTGTGATGGAGTGGTGAGTAAAGAGTGTGGAGTGGGCAGAGGAGGGATGAGGGGAGGGGGTAAGTAACCAGCGTGGGGCCACATCTGTGCCCAGAGGAGCTGAACTGGGACTTGTCCCCCTGGCCCCCCCACGCCATCCCCAACCACGGCCCAGAGCAGCCTGCAGGCAGGCTGAGCACAGATCTGCAGGGCCACCTCCAGCTGGAGGACGTCTGGATCTCCTACACCAGGCCGGTGGTGTGACACAGAACTGGGAATAAAACTGCATGTTTCCACCTGGGTGTGTTGGGATCTCAGGGTGGGGAGTCCCAATGCTATAGGAAGTGCAGGGAGAGTGAGGGACTCCCAGACCCTCCCCTATGCCCCCCCATTGGTTCCTCCTCCGTCCCGCCAATGGCGGACGTGAGCGTGCGTGACGTCACCGGGCGTCAGGCAGAATGCGCTCCCGTGGATTGGAAATCGAAAGCGAAACAGCGGAGCGGGGCAGAGGACGGGAGCGGTGTGGGACCCCCCGGACCCCCCCGACCACCGAGCGGGCAGCAGGGCTGTGTCCCAACGGGGCTGTGTCCCTGAGCAGGGGAGGGGGCCGAGGGCTTTAGGGGGGCAGGGGGCAGTGGGAAGGGAAGGAGCTGTCAGAGCACGGCTGGGGGGCTGCGATGAACCCCCTGGGTGTGGGGTGCATGGAGCGCTTCTTCCAGCACAGAGCCGTTGGACTCGGAGAGGCACAGAGGGCGGAGGAATCCTCTGGGATAACACTCCAACCCTGAGTCAATGGCTCAGTTCAATTTTGTCCCCTGCTTAATTAATGCGTCTCATGACCTATATCCAGGTCACTTATGGAGGCACTGAGCAGAACTGGCCCTGAAACACAGACCCCACAAACACCCGGTAATCTCCCCATGCACGA